TTCTCTCCTGTGACATAAACAAAAGGCATACAGATTCTTTAACATAGTGAAACAATCTTTGCTCAAGCTCTGATGAACAACCAATGTCTGTTTCTGTAGGACTGGGTCTAGTTTGCATGCTCGCCATAGTTGGCCTTATTTGGTCCAGTAAAAAGTTGTTGGTAGAGACTCGTAGCCACTCCAGATCACCGATGGAGAAATCGTCTGTGTCATGTTACCATGATAAAAGAGGTCGAGTCCAGTTCATGTGAAGCTGCCACAGGGAAAGGTCTGTGGGAGATCTCCAGTGCTGAAGTCAGTTTCGGGGTTTTTGTTTTTCTGTGGCCCTGACAAAGAGAAAGTTGACATCCTCTGAGATTTTGATGAATCTTCCTGCACGTTTGTCTCATCTCTCTGAGCCGCTGAGTTTTCTTGGTTTTTATTTCTGTTAGTTAGGTTTATGGGAGAGGGAAGAAGCACTGATCCCACGGCCCCTATTCAAGCTGCTTCTCTTGTTTTTGATTTTTATTTTGCCCATCAGACCTGTTGATTGTTTTGAAAAGTTCTGACATTTTCTTATTTTATTTTTTATTATTTATCCCAAAATGGACTATTTGATTATGTTCTTTTCCAAAAGGCTGTATGGAGGATTGTAATATTCTTCCACTGAGCAGAAATGTGTTTATTAGTTTTATTATTGTTACATAAACAAAGGGGAAGCAGAATTTCTTTTTGAAAGAGTCCAATCAAACAACACACAGGAACATGTGAGGCCTCTTTCAGATTTCTACAGTAATACGATTTCTGATGATCACGTACAGTACTCACACCTAGTCAAGGTTTAAGATAGTACTGATATTAAATTGTCAGAGAATTTAAACCAAAAAAGTATTTTGAGTGCACAAGTACAATTCTTATCTTTTTAAAAATACTTTATTAAGCTTTTATTGCCTTTAATTAATAGCGATAGCTGAAGAGTGGCTCTACCAGGTGAGCTACCAGGATGCTCACCTGGTAGAGCCAATTCTAGATATTTAAAATCTCAGTTGTGTCATGATTAAAAATAAATTCATCTTGTATCTTGTATACGTAGAAATTCAAACCGGTTACATACAGTCACATACACAATCATATACAGTACAGCAAATAGTGCAATCTATATGAAGGACATTTTTCATATCGATCACAGGTCTGTTTTCCTTATGAAATTATTTACCCAACAATTCCCACCAAGAGCAAGCCATTGGCAACAGGGGCAAGGAAAAACTTCTTTTTAAGAAGCAGAAACCTCGGGCAGAGCCAGGCTCAAGGTGGGCAGCCGTCTGCCTCGACCGGTTGGGTTTAGAGAGAAAGAGAGAGAAAGGGAGAGAGGGGGGGTAGAAGGGGGTAAGAGAGAGGGGGTAGAAGGGGGTAAGAGAGAGGTGTAGGAGGGGCTAAGAGAGAGGGGTAGAAGGGAGTAAGAGAGGGGGTAGAAGGGGGTAAGAGAGAGGGGTAGAAGGGAGTAAGAGAGGGGGGTAGAAGGGAGTAAGAGAGGGGGGTAGAAGGGAGTAAGAGAGGGGGTAGGAGGGGGTAAGAGAGAGGGGTAGAAGGGGGTAAGAGAGGGGGGTAGAAAGGGGTAAGAGAGAGGGGTAGGAGGGGGTAAGAGAGAGGGGTAGAAGGGGGTAAGAGAGGGTAAGAGGGGAACACTGTGTTGTCCGAGCTCCTTTTTTTTCTTCCTTCCTCTATGTCCTGGGTGAGAATTCTTCCTCTGGATTAATGGGCACCATACAGGAACACGATTTTCAGTCCTCATCATGTGTCCTTTCTCAGGCTCCAAGATCACAGTCAGAGGTGGTCCATGCTCTGCTGTCACATACAGCAGTGGAGCTTCTTTTAGCTCTGGTGAGCTCAACATGAGCACTTTCGTAAGCTCTGTCATCACAGTATACAGCATAGGCCCAAACTGTGGAGCTTCTTTTAACTCTGGTGTCACAAAGAGTACTGGTCCAAACTCTGTTATCCCAGCTAACAGTGGTTCAAGCTCAGGCATCAAACTGTGTAGTAGTGCGAGCTCTGTCATCACACACTGCAGCTGCAGAAACTCAGAGTTCATCGGCAGCCCAAACTCCGTGTTCATTGTGAGCTGTAGTGAAATCTCCAACTTCACCATCAGCACTGGTCCAAGGTCCATCGCCACAGTCAAGTCCGTCTCGAAGTCCACTTGGATTTCTATCAGCGGTCCGAGCTCCATTGTTAAAGCCGGCAGTGGCCCAAGCTCCATCGTCAGTGACAGAAGTGGTCCAAGCTCCGTTGTCATAGAGAGGAGTGGTCCGAGCTCTATCACTGGAGGCAGCAACTGTCCAAGCTCTGTCTTCAAAGTCTGTAGTTGTCTCATTAGGGTCATCATCAACAGCAAAGAGTTGCTCAAAAACTGGGAAATGGCTGAAAAATAATGTGGAAGTCAAACAAAGCATTTATCCAAAATATTCCCTATCAGTAAAAGCAACAATGAGGTTTATTTGATAGGATAACTTATGTAAAATATATATGAAGACTGGGGATGGGCCAATATACGATTAATTGTGACAATAAAAAAACATGAGTGACTTCAAACAGCTATCTAACTGCTGATGTACAGTCCTTTATTGATTTCTTGATTAATTTTGAATGTCTACAAGTGCCTGTCACCACATCGGAAGGTTTGACTTTCCCACTGTGTCCCCACAAGAAAAAGTTAAACCAAATACTATGGATTCCTAACAACAACAGGGAGGTCAGGTGATCTGTTATGCAATAAAAAAATGTGTTATCAGGATAGTATTGTTAATTATTTTGGCCAGGATAATGGTGACATTAAATTTTAATATTGTCCCATGCATAATCAAGTCAGGAATTTTAAAATCACACATCCTACATTTTCACATAGACCTTTAAAGCCATATTTATAGAATCTGAACACCCTGCTGCCCCCACAGTGGTGGCATCAAAAAATACAGTGTGCAACATGCAGACTACACCATTTTTCAGTGGTACTATCTCAGTCTTTTGGAGTACAAAAACTTTGATTTGATTTGATTTACTCTCACGCCACTAGTGTTTATCTGCAGTGGGGTCCACACCAATTTCAGTGAAAAGGTCTGCCTTACCTGATCTCCTGCTCAGGGTTTTAGAAGATGATCCTTGCTGGTTTTTGTGTGAATTCCACATTGTTTTCTCTTTCGCTCTCTGTGTTTTACAACTGTCCTTCCTAGTACGCTCTATGTGTTTCATCGATACGTTTGTAGAGTTTTGTCTTTGTGTTTGTCACCTTACCTGCTGATATAGAATGTTTATAAGTTACTCTTTGTAAAGTTCTAAAAGAATGATTCTAGAACCTGATGTCATAAAATAGAACCTTTTTTCTTTCATCTTGATTATTTTCTTTTTCTTTTTTTTTACTGTATAATTAGTTAATGCTTTTATATCTATTTTTTTTAGTGTGTTGTTTTTATTACCTTTTTTTATTTTTTAACTTATGTGAAGTGTCTTTGGGTTCCTAGAAAAGCGCTCTATAAATGACATGTATTATTATTTTTATTATTATTATTATTATTTGGCAATATTCTGTTTGTTACACTCATACCAATTAAACAAACTGAAGTGAATTCAACTCCAATTAAAGACACATGGCTTTGAGGTCATACTCTGTGTTCTTCCATTCTGCATAATTGGGCAGGGACCCAATTTCAAAAAATAAATATCCTAAAAGCTACAATACGTAAATTAAACCTGGGACTCGACCTCTCTGACATAGAAACATTTCAACAGACCTGTTAGTCTCATATGCTCATCATCTTATATATACCACCATAATGGCTTCCAGAGGATGTATCCAAACAACTCTGGTGATCCACTGAAGTCTCCTCGATCACCACTGTGAAGTTGACTTTTGTTGTTTTGAGCAAAATATCTTTACAACTATCAGATGGATTGCCATGAAATTTGGCACAGACATTCATGTCTACCTCAGGGTGAATTGTAATAACCTTGGTGAGCCACTGATTTTTCATATAGCGCCATCTTCTGGTCAAACATTTTTATTTGCCCAGCAGTACTTTGTTTAGTGGCCTTTGTTGTTGCTCCAAAAATTTGCTGATCTGAAAATACTACGACAACCAAAGGGGAGAATGAACATTTAGTCAATTTATTTCAACAAATTACAACTTCTCGCTCAAAACACGGAATAAAAAACAGAAAAAACAAATACTTGTAGACTTATCAATACAATAGATAATGAGTAACACTAACAGTTACTTACTAGAGGCGTGTAAATCACCAGGCCTCCGTTGGTCATGGAGGCTATGGATCTGGTTCTGTTGCATGCTCACCCGGTTCCGGTTCTGGTGCTCATTCTCCTATGCTAGCTCCTGTTCTAGTGGTTTAAACAAACCTTCCCCAGTCGGGGAAAGAGTTAACTTATAGGACCGCTAAGTGCCATAGGACACTCTGGTATTTTGATGTCTAGCTAAATGTTGTCTATTTCTGCCACAGCAAAAGAGCATTATTATCTGTGAAACAACAGGGAATTTTATTTTTTATTTAACTTTATTTTAGGCACGTAATCTCACTGAGACACAGGGTCTCATTTACAAGAGAGTCCTCTCTTGACTCGTGTTACTGTTCAGTTTTTATTCTCTGACTGGACAATTTCATTCATTTCTGTCTTGTACCTTCAATAGGTTTAAGAACTGTGATGATCAGAATGATCCTCAGACATCAGGTATTACTGTAGAAATCTGAATGAAGCCTCACATTTTCCTGTATGTTGTTTGATCTGACTCATTAAAAAGAAAATCTGCATGTTTTTTGTATGCAAAAGGATTTTAAAAAACCCACCCACACATTTCTATTTGCTGAAAAAAATGTTTATTGTCTATAAATAATGTATCAAAAATATAAAAGTACATAAAATTTTGTTCAATGCTAATTAAAAAAATAAATACAGAATAAAAATGTAATAATTAGATAAATAAATACATGAATAAATAGATAAATAAATAGACTTTATGTAGTTGTGTACTTCATACTGACTGTGTAGAATATCAAGTAATCGATTGAAACACAAACAACTCAATTCAATAAATAGATAAAAAAAAAAATAAAAGACTTAAATAAATAAAATAAAATAAATTAATCTGACAGGTAACAGCTTTTAGTTGGTGGTGAGTAGAGATGAAACCAGCTGGTCCGCTCTCATCAGATGGGTTTTGATTTCCTTCCTGATCAGCTCCCAGGCTTCAGCACTGTGGCCCTATATATTAGCATTATATTAGCATTATTAGAACATGATAGATACTGTAGATAGATTGATACATAGAAATATAGATAGATACACAAACCTACCATTTTCTTTAGGACGTGGCTTGAAAGTTTCATGAAATACATTTGTAGCTTCTTGTTAGTCTTGTGGCCGTGGCTCCCAATCTAAATGAATTACAACAACATGAATTAAAACCTGTTCATTTGGCACATGCACTATTAATGGATCCTTTCAGTCAACAGGATTTAGCATAACTGATGTTTGTCTTTAAGTTTTAAATGTAAGGGAACAAGTAAGGTTATGTTAATCCACTGAGACTCACACAGGAGCGAAGGTTGTCAGCCTGCTGGGTTACAACATTGACAAAGTCCTCCACTGTGTTCTCCTCCCATGATGCAGAGCTGTGATCCTCCTCAAACAGGGCAGCCGTCTCATTAAGAATCTGAACTGTGAAGGCAAGTTGATCCTCAGCCTGGAAGAAGAAGAAGTAGAAGAATATATAACAGATATAACAACCCACACAAATCAATAATCACGTGTTATATTTTGTATTTCACTTAGACAGAAGTTGAGGATGACTTACTGATGCTTTGGACGCCTGTCTGTACAGAAGATTAGGGAAGGCCACAGTGTCCTCCACTTCAGCATCCTCAGTGGTGTTAGTGGAGTTATTAGCCTGCATCACACACACAAACACACACACACATCATGTGTTGAAGTAAACAGACAGTAAAGTAAACTCATTCAGTTCAGATAATTCACTGACTTTAAACAATAAGAAGTCCACTTACCATCGTATCCAGTAGAGCCAAAGAGTTTTCACTGTGCTGTCTGAATTTATGATCCATGATCCATCTGCAGCTCAGCGAGGAGCCTGCACTGTACAGACTGAGAGACAGGCACACAAAGAAAATCCTGTTGAGCATTTTCAAAAAGGTAGAGATTGTCTTTGTATAGAGTAAATTCAGATGAGTGCTGGTTGTGTTGAGGCAGACCTGCAGTGCCTCCTTTATACTGTAGGACGCACCTGTTTCTGTTTCCACCTGTGGTAAACACAACGTGTTTTATGAGGTTTACATACATGGTTAGACATTTCGGATTTGGAGTAGTGAAAAAAATCTCCCACAATAATTGTTATTAAAAATGATCCTTTGAAAATGTGTTTCATATAGAAAACACAGTTCACTCTCTTTTGATTTTCTGATTGATTGATTTTGATTTGATTTTCTCGTCATGCGCACAAAGCGCTCAACCCTCGTGGGTTGACAAGACACCAAAAACATTCAGTTGCACTGATAAAACATTAAATGATAAAATTATAGATTATAGATAAATTATAGATTATTATAAGGCTACGTCTCAAACTAAATATTCTGTCTTCTCTCCCTCAAAAAGTTCGCTTCTTCCTTCTTGAAGCACAATTCAAGTTTTTCATGATCATCAAGCCAAAAAGAGTGGCATTAAACCTTCCGGTCTGTAGGGCTAATGGGAATGTTCCTGAACGCAACTGTGTCTCTAATTTAAGTTACAGCCTACTTTACATATAGTGGAGACAATAAGTTCGTATGTTTGGTTTCTACCATATATCAACAGACCATTTTTCTCTACATGAGAAACATTTTACTCCTAATCTCCTGAATATCACAAAGCAAATTGTTCTGGAAAGTGAATGACAAAATGTTTAAATAAAATAAATATTTCAGCTCATATAAATTATATTGGAATAGTTTACTACGATGATATTTCATATATATATAGGATTATAGGAATAGTGCTGCGGGTTTTAAAGCAAAATAGAATATTTAATTTTTAAATTAAATTATCTTTGAATATAAATGAGCTGACTGATAATGATTTTAGGCTGTTTTATCTATTAAGTTGAGTTAGTTTACAGTGATTACAGATTTCATGTTTTTGACCGTCATCACCTCCCTTTCACTCTGCACGCGACGGTAAATGTATTTAAAATGCTTTTTAAACTGTTGGAATTGCATCATTAGTCCCTATGTGGATCGATAATAATCAATAATGATTACAGCAGTGATTAAAGCGGAAGTCCCAACACAGAGAGAAAATGAAAGTGAGCTCTGACGCTCGTTCATATGAAGTGATCAGTGACATTTCACGTTGTTTTCACTAGAACATGGCGGCTTCAACGTGAGAACCAGACAGCCTGTGGAGAAGGGGATTCTCCTTCACCTTTTATTTTACACATCAGAGCACATATTCAGCCTGATACAGACACATATATCACATTGTATTATATTAGGACTGTAAGCCTGCAGAGTGTGGACAAACGTGTGTCAATAGATTACATATTGATAAGTATAGATAACACAAGATAACATAACATACCCTAACATAAGCCTTTATTGTGAAATTCAGTTGTTGCAGCAGCACAATGACATAAATAATCACAGATAAATACAAAAGAAAAATTTCCCCAAAATACATTTTTATTATTATCTCTATTTATGGGGGATTATTTCTGTGCTCGTGCTTCTGCAACAGCTGGATTTCACAATAAAACGCTCCTGTTATCTTCTGACCTACGTAGGCTATCCACAGTCTGCTGCAGGGACTTTCATTCTCTCTGTGCTGGAACTTCCGCTTTATGGCACCTTCTGGACACAGCGCAATCACTCCCTTATCCTTTATTGATTATTATGAATCCACTACCACAAATGATGCAATATACGGCATCAAAAACAAACGGAATTATCAGAAAGATGCAAAATACGAAACACTGTAAACAAACAAAATTGGATGAATAAATGTTAAAATAGCCTATAATTATTATCAGTCAGGTGATTTCAATTCAATCACAACTAGAGTGTCTAATTTTCAGTTTACCTTTAAAATCGCAATAATATCCCTATAATAACCATCGTTTCCACTATCGAATAAAAGTAAAATATTTGTGTTTGTCTGTTTGTGTTTAGAGGTTTTCTATAAAAATGCATTTTCTATGGTTTTACAAAATAGGATCATTTTTTAACATGTTTATCTGGCTTTATATTTGACCTTTGTTTTGATATTTATTCATGCTTTTATTGTGGGAGAATTTCTTTCACAGGTCAAATCGAAATGTGACAGCTTAAACCTCGTTTACGTTGTGTTTACCACAGGTGGAAACAGAAACAGGTGCGTCCTACAGTATAAAGGAGGCACTGCAGGTCTGCTCCAACACAACACCAGCACTCATCTGAACTTACTCTATACAAAGTCAATCTCTACCTTTTTGAAAATGCTCAACAGGATTTTCTTTGTGTGCCTGTCTCTCAGTCTGTACAGTGCAGGCTCCTCGCTGAGCTGCAGATGGATCATGGATCATAAATTCAGACAGCACAGTAAAAACTCTTTGGCTCTACTGGATACGATGGTAAGTGGACTTCTTATTGTTTAAAGTCAGTGAATTATCTGAACTGAATGAGTTTACTTTACTGTCTGTTTACTTCAACACATGATGTGTGTGTGTGTTTGTGTGTGTGATGCAGGCTAATAACTCCACTAACACCACTGAGGATGCTGAAGTGGAGGACACTGTGGCCTTCCCTAATCTTCTGTACAGACAGGCGTCCAAAGCATCAGTAAGTCATCCTCAACTTCTGTCTAACTGAAATACAAAATATAACACGTGATTATTGATTTGTGTGGGTTGTTATATCTGTTATATATTCTTCTACTTCTTCTTCTTCCAGGCTGAGGATCAACTTGCCTTCACAGTTCAGATTCTTAATGAGACGGCTGCCCTGTTTGAGGAGGATCACAGCTCTGCATCATGGGAGGAGAACACAGTGGAAGACTTTGTCAATGTTGTAACCCGGCAGGCTGACAACCTTCGCTCCTGTGTGAGTAGAAACTTTTAGTGACACCACTGAACTGATTTCAGCTTCTATTACATTCATATACATTTCCAAGGAATTACTGATGAATGTGCCAGTTAAACAGCTCCACAGTGACTGTGTAAGGAAGATTTCTTTGAACACATTACAGGTGAAATAAACTGTGTTTTCTAAATATTCATTTTCTTTTAATTCATTTAGATTGGGAGCCACAGCCACAAGAAGAAGAACACAAAGCTGCACATGCACTTCAAGAGACTCTCACACCATGTCCTAAAGAAAATGGTCAGTCTATTTTATTCCTATATCATTTTGGTCTTATAGATATGAGATATTGTATTTTTGATGTTCTAATAATGCTAATATTCTTCTGTCTGTAGGGCCACAGTGCTGAAGCCTGGGAGCTGATCAGGAAAGAAATCAAAACCCATCTGATGAGAGCAGACCAGCTGGTTTCATCTCTACTCACCACCAACTAAAAGCTGTTACCTGTCTGTCAGATTCATTTATTTTATTACATAAAGTCTATCTTTTTTTAAAAATCTATTTATTGAATTAATTTTGTACTTCAATCCATTACTTGATGTTCTACACAGTATGTATGAAGTACACAACTACATGAAGTTTATTTATTTATTTTTCTATTTATTCATGCATTTATTTATCTAATTATTAAGTTTTGATTCTGCATATATTTTTTTATTTGCATTAAACAAAATGAGAGCAGACCAGCAGGTTTCATCTCTACTTACCAAAGCTGTTATCTTTCTGTCAGATTAACAATGTGTTTATTTATTACATGTCTATTTATTTATCTATTTATTCATGTATTTATTGAATTGAGTTGTTTGTATTTTTATAAAATGTCTACACAGTCAGTATTTTTTATAAATTAAAATGTTATTATTGAAGTTTATTTATTCAAATTTTTCATACCTGCAAAAGCAAATAAAAATAAGACTTTCTCCAGCAAATGGATGTGTTTTTATTGTTTTCTCTCCTGTGACATAAACAAAAGGCATACAGATTCTTTAACATAGTGAAACAATCTTTGCTCAAGCTCTGATGAACAACCAATGTCTGTTTCTGTAGGACTGGGTCTAGTTTGCATGCTCGCCATAGTTGGCCTTATTTGGTCCAGTAAAAAGTTGTTGGTAGAGACTCGTAGCCACTCCAGATCACCGATGGAGAAATCGTCTGTGTCATGTTACCATGATAAAAGAGGTCGAGTCCAGTTCATGTGAAGCTGCCACAGGGAAAGGTCTGTGGGAGATCTCCAGTGCTGAAGTCAGTTTCGGGGTTTTTGTTTTTCTGTGGCCCTGACAAAGAGAAAGTTGACATCCTCTGAGATTTTGATGAATCTTCCTGCACGTTTGTCTCATCTCTCTGAGCCGCTGAGTTTTCTTGGTTTTTATTTCTGTTAGTTAGGTTTATGGGAGAGGGAAGAAGCACTGATCCCACGGCCCCTATTCAAGCTGCTTCTCTTGTTTTTGATTTTTATTTTGCCCATCAGACCTGTTGATTGTTTTGAAAAGTTCTGACATTTTCTTATTTTATTTTTTATTATTTATCCCAAAATGGACTATTTGATTATGTTCTTTTCCAAAGGGCTGTATGGAGGGATTGTAATATTCTTCCACTGAGCAGAAATATGTTTATTAGTTTTATTATTGTTACATAAACAAAGGGGAAGCAGAATTTCTTTTTGAAAGAGTCCAATCAAACAACACACAGGAACATGTGAGGCCTCTTTCAGATTTCTACAGTAATACGATTTCTGATGATCACGTACAGTACTCACACCTAGTCAAGGTTTAAGATAGTACTGATATTAAATTGTCAGAGAATTTAAACCAAAAAAGTATTTTGAGTGCACAAGTACAATTCTTATCTTTTTAAAAATACTTTATTAAGCTTTTATTGCCTTTAATTAATAGCGATAGCTGAAGAGTGGCTCTACCAGGTGAGCTACCAGGATGCTCACCTGGTAGAGCCAATTCTAGATATTTAAAATCTCAGTTGTGTCATGATTAAAAATAAATTCATCTTGTATCTTGTATACGTAGAAATTCAAACCGGTTACATACAGTCACATACACAATCATATACAGTACAGCAAATA